AATGCAGTTCACTCACTTATTGTTTTTTTTTTAATTATATATTTTTAATAGATTCAAGATTTGAGTATCGATAATTATAAACTACAGCTGTCTTTTTCATTTATGGGAGAGAAAAAAAACATAAACATCTGAAATTATATTTAAAAAGTGTTTTCAGTTGTACCCCTGATTACATATGAAAGATCCAAAAGGACTTTACTAAACAATCAAACACGTCATGTTAATGTCGTTCAGAAGAAAGAGGTTATCAAGAAATACAACTAACCTTATCAAAAATCAAATTAAGAGGACATTTTGTTCCATGTGTGTTCCCATTTCTGCACCCCCAATGCGATTGTTTTTGGATTTTTTTTGCATCTGACAAATTAAAGGTATCAAACAAGATTCACCTTTGCATACTTCTCCAATTTCTATTTCAAACAGATCTGATGTTACTTGTTGACCTTGTATACCAAAACAACGACTGTAAAACTGAATGATTCGTCCTAGTGTCAAAGTCAAGCATTCCTGTGTTGTTGTTGCTAGGTCTGGTGATTTGAGGGGTTTTGAATACTCATTAATAAGGTATACAACAATTCTATGACCTTCCACGTGAATTTGAATCTCATTTCTGTAATCAGCATCCATAATTGCAGCTTGAAAATAGAGACAAAAAACGGGAGTCCACTACTTTTAAAGGCCAGATGCTAATTGAAGCACTGATAAGTTTAAACGACAAGGCAGATGGAACCACAGTCTCTTTCAGATGATATGCTATGCACATCGTTTTGTCGTCTGTCGCGTTTTTCTGCATTTGTCGCGGAATTTTAAACTTCACTATACATGGTACCAGAAAACAAATTTGCAGATATTTCCTTCTGAGTGTAGCGTTTAGGTTCTACAAGGATATCAAGGAGGAGGAGGACCTGTAAAACATATTCTTTTGTTCTTACATCCGTCAAAATATTTTTAAACGCTGATTGTGACCACAGAGTAAAAAGGTTTGTCTTGTTTAGAACTTCCGTAGATAATAAATTCTCCAGTATGTCTCGAATGGGTCCCTTCTCTGGCCAAAACGTTATGTCTGTGATGAAGGCTCTCAGAATATTGAAAATTGCTGAAGGCTGAACGACAATGAAGTCTCTTAAAGCTGGTTCATTGAAGTATAATAACTTTCCTATTGAGTGTTGAACAAGTAAGAAATCTTCTATTCTTTTTCACTTAAGGCAAATTGATTATTAGACCTGTTCATCTTCAAAAGCCTTTCTTTTGTTACTAACTTTACTCCTTCTGTTCTCATATCAGATATCTGTAAATCAAGAGGCACCCAAACAATCAGCACTTGTTGTCCCCATGTAGACTGCTAAAAGGCTATATCAACTAATGTAAACGATCAATTTCTAGGTCAGCTGCGTCTGTTGCATTGATGAAAAAGACTCTGTCGTACATAATATGCTCATGAAGCTTATGTGAGGAAAACATTTTCATTAGTTCTTCTTTGAATTTAAGGGCTAGTTTCCATTTTTCAACCAGTCAATTATACCAAAAAGCAATGATATAAATAAATTATTTTCTTTCCACAAAAAAACCTAGGAGAGTTGTATAACAGCAAAACAAAAAAATAAACTATAAATATCAGTTGAACAGGGCTTTTCTTATAAATGCTAGCATATTTCATAGAACAATTTTCATTCAATCTAAATATTTACTGTAAACATTTTAGAATACCTTATTATTTTTTCCAAACAACTTTGAATTTTCAGCTTTAGCTTTATAAATGTGTCTCAGGCATAACTGATTAATATGACTACAAGAAATATGGGATATAAATCACTGAGACAGCAAACAAACAACGCATCAGTTCATTTATTCTTTGTATGGCCATGGTGTTCTGTGTCAATTATAAATGTTTACAAGAACAATGAAATCGAGACAGCTGTAGAATTTGATGACGTGAGCAGGTCAAAATACTGAATAACTAATTGAAAATTCAAATATAGAACAAAATAGTCAGAGACCAAATAACTAATTGAAAATTCAAATATAGATCAAAATAGTCAGAGACCAAACAACACATCAATTGACATTAATTAATTCAGTCAAATGTTTTCGATATTTGAATTCCTGAATTAGTTATTCTTGTCATTACATTAACTGTTTATTGAGGTGATGATATACAAAATAGGATTTTTTTTTATTAAACTGTGCAACAGATGTTGTTGGATACATTTGTATATAGCATGTTTACTTTTGTCTTATATCATACCAGACACCCTCCTCCATGGCTTTGTGCATGTTACCAAATAACTAGAAATTTTAATTTTCATATCTTTTTTGGAATGAAAGAGAGAGAACGAACCTTCTTTCAATGAATGTTCGTATATGGTGTTTTCTTTAATTTGATAAAACATTACACATTTGTTATGTCCTGTTATTGACTAGATAGTTGTGTTAATATTATCATGTATTTGCGTTGAAAAGGAGGGTGGTATAATGATTAACAAAGTCAGACATGTCTCTGACAAGCTGTCACTATGGGTGGCACCAAACAAATTTCTTTAGTTTTGTTACAGTAGGTCAATACAGAATTAATCCAATGCTCCAGAATAGCTACAAAAGTATTACGTAGAACTTAAAGTAGGAAATAAAATGAAGATGATGTTTGACTTTCATTAACTGGTGAGTAAATAATATCGTAAGTATTACTGAACACAACCAACGGGCCAAATATTTAAAACCATAACATGATATAGTGTTCTGTGATTTTAAAAAAATAAAACAACAGTTTAGAAATTGCGTAGGTCTAAGGCGCTTTTCTGGATTTTCCATCATCAGGATCGATCATAGCTGAATATTTGAATGCCAAGGATATATATGAACCGAAACATTTGAAACATTCGAAGAGCTACATGTATATGACCAAAAAGGACCTAAAATAATAGCCAAACTATCTCAGGTCATTGTGCCTGAGGGAGATGAAACATTAGTTTCTAATTTCTAAATTAAAAAAACGGACATTTTAAGGGCATACGATACAGTAGAAGGGGCAGATAATAACGTTTTCAAAACTTTTCGTGTTGTTTTCGCGACGTTGTTAATCAGAACGTTGTAATTTCGCGATGTTTCTATTAAGAATGATTACATTTCGCGGTTAAGTTATGACTGTTTGTTCAAAAGTATTGTAACTTTCCTTAAAAGTCCCTTTTTTATGAAATTTCAGGGTTTTCCTTTCAAATATGCAACTTTCGAACCCACTTCCCCTTCAATGTTGAGCATAAATCAGCCAGTTGGTTTTAAAGGCCAATTCTGTTTTTACATGAAATGAAATAAGTTACAAAAATATTTTTAAGTTGAAGAACTGTCAGCATGATGCAATTTATGGACAGCAACACCTTTATTTTTGCATTTGGTTTAATAGAGATGTGAGCAAATAGATATAAGAACATGTAGTATGAGTGCCAATGAGACAACTCTCCATCCAAGTCACATTTTGTAAAAGTAAACCATTAAAGGTCAAAGTACGGCCTTCAACACGGAGCCTTGGCTCACACCGAGCAGCAAGCTATATAGAACCCCAAAAATGACTAGTGTAAAACCATTCAAACAGGAAAACCAACGATCTAATTTGTATAAAAAACGAGAAACATTTATGAACCACATCAACAAACGACAACCAGTGAACATCAGGTTCCTGACATAGAATATTACACAAAGGAACTGTTTTTGTCTATGCTAGATTCGATAACTTTTCTAGCATTAAGCAGTTATAGTCTATATAAATAAAGGCGTACAAACCTAAAACAGTACCGGAAAGATGAATATCAATCACTATGTACACCCAACACTAAATTAATGGATCAATTGTTTGGTGATAATGAGGTGAATAAAATCAAAAGCCTTACAGAAGGGAAGAAGACGGCTGATATGGTAGCATAAAGAGCCACAGTTTTCTGACCCTACTTCCACTAGATGTTTTGGTGGTTTAAGAGGTTAAAGCCGTGGTCGTAGACGATCTTCTAGGGCAGGAGGCAGATATTTTTTTAAAGAAAAAAAAGAAGAAAAAGGAAAACAACTAGTTTTAAATTGCATGCGTCTGACGAGCTTTTCTGGATTGACCTTCATCAGGAACGCTCCAAACCGAATATTTGAAAGCCAAGGATGTTTAAGAACTGAAACAGTTAAAGAGCTTTATGACCAAAAAGGGCAAAAAAAGTAGCCAAATCTATCTAAGGTCAATTTTGCCTTAGGTAGTTGAAAAGTTTGTTATAAATCATGACTACTGAGCTGATAATACCCTGGGGGAACTGATATAAGTAACAGTTATGCACCAGTACAAAGAGGAACCCCTTCTGTAACTTAAACAACATAATCGAGCTGTGTCGGATAGAAATCGACCTGATGCACAGGCATATCAATAAATCTGTTAACCTGTTTCGAGTTGTAAAAATTTTCTCTATGCAAAGTCTGTTACTGTTTGAAAATTGAGTTGATATAAGAAAATTCATTTTTTAATTCGTATGTGAACGTTCCAAAATAAATCAAAGTCATGTACATGTACATGTATACGTGCACTTGCATACGGTCGATTTCTATCCGACGCAGCTCATATGTTTCTTTAGTTAGATTGGGCAGAATACCTAGGTTTGTCTACTGGTGGACAAAGGTCAGAGGAAAACTTTAGTAACAATATTAACTATTTAGAATTACAAGCCGTGCTTTGGGGAATGAAACGTTTTTTTTTAATTACTTGATCGTACATCTTGTGAAAATTTTATCTGACAAATCTTCAACTGTAATTTACATTAAGTGATATGGGTGGAACTAAATCTTTGTAATTTTATATAATATTGTATAACATATTCAGATTTCCTTAAACGCAAGGTGACAGTAAGTGGGACTAAGTGCCCTCCTAACCCTATTCCTTAGGTTTTAAAGTCCACTGCACTCTTTAAAGGCTGATGATTACAGGCGATTTGGTTATAATCTCACTTGATCCCACTTAATTTTAACTTGCATTTCAGGAAATCCAAGTCAATCTTCAACTACAGGTAAGTATCAGTTGACTAACAATTTCTATATACAATATAAATGATATATGCATTGATATAAATCAATATAATCATTCAGAACATATCAAATGCAATTGCACATTTGGAGTATCTCACATGCTGCTGTAACATCACCTTGTGGATATTCTTCAAATTCTTTATAAAGGCATAAACGTCCATCAAACATCAGAAAGAACGTCCCCCTGTGCTGGATAAATAAGTGATGAGTCATATCAAACGATAATTTGCCCACCGAAATCGACCAAATCCGATGGTGCTATATTCATGATATAAGTTCCTTTCTTAATCTTCTCAAATAAGTCATCTCGAATGCGTTGGGCATTATGAATTGGTGGTTCCTGAAAGCCTTTTAATGTATCCTGATCAGGTTTCGGTGACTGGTGTTAATGTCCAACAGATAGTGTTTTTCCAGATATTGCAATATCTTTTGGTCGCTGCTGGTTTGATGAAAATTGATCCATATCTAATGTGTTTGACCTTTGAACATTTTTGACTTCATCAGTATTTTCCTCATCATTCTGCTTTATCGGGGACGGACCTGGCAGTCTTGGTTCTGCTTTTGTTGGGACGGACCTGGCAGTCTTAATTCTGCTTTATCGGGGACGGACCTGACAGTCTTTGTTCTGCTTTATCGGAGACAGACCGGGCAGTCTTGGTTCTGCTTTATCGGGGACGGACCTGGCAGTCTTGGTTCTGCTTTATCGGGGACGGACCTGGCAATCTTTGTTCTAATTTATCGGGGACGGACCTGGCAGTCTTGGTTCTGCTTTATCGGGAACGGACCTGGCAGTCTTTGTTCTGCTTTATCGGGGACGGACCTGGCGGTCTTGGTTCTGCTTTATCGGAGACGGACCTGGCAGTCTTGGTTCTGCTTTATAGGGGACGGACCTGGCAGTCTTGGTTCTGCTTTATCGGAGACGGACCTGGCAGTCTTTGTTCTGCTTTATTAGGGACGGACCTGGCAGTCTTTGTTCTGTTTTATCGAGGACGGTCCTGGCAGTCTTGGTTGTGCTTTATCGGGGACGGACCTGACAGTCTTGGTTCTGCTTTATCGGGGACGGACCTGACAGTCTTGGTTCTGCTTTATCGGGGACGGACCTGGCAGTCTTTGTTCTGCTTTATCGGAGACGGACCTGGCAGTCTTGGTTCTTGTTTATCGGGGACGGACCTTGCAGTCTTTGTTGTAACGTAAAATCAAGATTTACAAGCAGAAGTTTCGTTAAAACATCGTCAATGTTTAAAAAAATAAAATTTACCACAACAATGATCGAATACAAGGCAATCGAATCTATATTAAAAGCCTTATACGGATTCACCTAAGAACACCATAACGTTGAGAAAACCCAAGATAAATAAATGATTTGAAGTGCAATACATTGAGAAAGTCTTGTCGTGCTAGGCATAAGTATTTGAAAACAAGAAGTTGATATCTGACAGATGCTTAAAGTGCACATTCTTTACACCTCCTCACTATTGAACGGTGGACTAAATATGAGGTCATTCTTTTCACTTACTTTATATAGATGGGTGTTAAAAAAAGTCCATTCAACATATTGAAGAATAGAACAGAAAGTTGGTATCTGGAGATCTGCACACATTAAAACTCACCACTGTCAAGCTGATGTTCAAATATGTAGTTCTTCTAGTTAGTAGTTTCTGAGAAAAGAATGACGACAAAATTTGTTACACAAACAGACGGACAGATAAGGTGATTGCAATAAAGCCCTATGAACATCAAAGAAAGAGTAAAGAGTAAAGAGCTGCTAATGTTAATTTTATCAGAATAAGTTATTTAATGAATATAGCCAAAAAATTAATAAAGAAGATGAATTGTTCATTTGACAAATTAGTAACAAGGTGCAACGTATAAAAATCGAATAAGGAACAAATAAGTAGCGAATAAGTAACAGGGTATCAGTAAAGCGCAGAAACGGGTACACATGCGCTAATAGGGTAATTTCACCTCTAAGAACTAAGAACCAACACCGGAGAAACGAAAATAAAGCATTAAAAAAGATGCAACGTATACAAAGCGAATAAGGAACGAATAAGTAACAGGGTATCAGTCGAGCGCAAAAGTGTGTACACACGCGCTAGGAATAAGGAATAAGTAACGAATGAGGAATAAGGAATAAGTAACGAATATGTAACGATAAAGGAATAAGAAATAAGTAAGGAATAGGTAACGAATAAGGAATAAGAAATAAGTAACGAATAAGGAATAAGGAATAAGTAACCAACTTGACGACCCTCCCATTATTTTCTATCCTATAAACCATATCCAGGCCCTGATAATTCAGTGTTACGAAAGGATCATCCATAGGAAAAGTATTTGCATATTAAACAACAGATAATTAATCTTTCTATCAAGGCAAAATAAACACGGTCGGAACTTTAACATTGTCCTTAGCAACAGCTTTCAAACTTAATACAATCAGTATTATTTTGAAAAGAGTCATACTCGAGATATATTGTGTAGACATGAATACTAGTAAATTTTGTTAAAAATTGCTAAGTAGTTTCAGTTCAGAAAATTATTAATAAATCTTCAACATTGACAAAAGTATTTTTAGTTGTCATTTGCTTTAATCATTCTTTCAGTTATTGCGAGAACTCTTAGATCGGTACCTAGTGTACCCCTCCCCCTTTTCACCACCGACCCTAAGAGTGTAGCCATTTTCAATTGATTTTTGTCCTGCCTGCAGTATGCGACACATAGGGATTACAAAAAGGAAAAATCACAAAAATACTGAACTCCGAGGAAAATTCAAATAGGAAAGTCCCTAATCAAATGGCAAAATCAAAAGCTCAAACACATCAAACGAATGGATAACAACTGTCATATTCCTGACTTGGTACAGGCATTTTCTAATGTAGACAATGGTGGATTGAACCTGGTTTTAAAGCTAGCTAAACCGCTCACTTGTATGACAGTCGCATCAAATTTCATTATATTAACAACGATATGTGAACAAAACAAACAGACACAATAGGTAAATATGTCAAAAATAGGAGTACAGCAGTCAACATTGTGTTATCATCTTTAATAATCACTATAAAAACAAACAAATGTAACAAAGAAGCACAAAAAGGCATACATCCAATTTAACATACTCAATTTGCTTTTTTATTATACGATTTTATTTATCTATGTAAAATCCAGCCATAAAGGATGGAAGGTTTTAAGTACTGGCGTAGAATCGTGCGTTTGACGTCAGACAGGTATATATAGAATAATTTTGTCGTTCAAAGCAATCCGGTGGCGGCATAAACTATTTGAATAATGCTTCATATTTCAGACAGTTGAAGACCTGGATGCCTCATACTTTGTATACAGATGCTTTATGTTACGAATTTCGCCTGTTATATGTTCGTTATCCTTGACCTCATTTTCATTATTCAGCGACTGCTTGAAAAAAGGCTTAGTTTTTGGTTGTGTGTATTTCTCACTCATTACGAGTAATGGGATAACTATATTTGGTATATGGGTTCCTTGTAAGGTTTACATGTCCGTCAGACAGGTTTCACCTGACCCTGACCTCATTGTATGGATCAGTAATAAGGTCCGTTTCTCAGATACTATAAGCAGTAGGTCAAATATATGTGATGTATGGAATGATTCTACGGTGTACATGTCATTCTGGCAGGTTTCATTTGACCTTGACCTCATTTTCGCAGTTCATTGGTCTTTGTTTAGTGTTTGTCCTTTGATCTTCTTTTCTGATATTATTTATAAGCAATAGCTCAACTATATTTGTTTCATGGAACAATTGTAAGGTTTATATTTCTGTCTGGCCGTTTTCACCTGATCTTGACCTCATGTTCATGGTTCATTGGTCAGTGTTAAGTTTTCCTGGTTAAGTCTGTTTCTTAGATACTATAAGCAATAGGTCAACTTCAATTAATGCATGACATGATTGTAAGTTGTACATGTCTGATTGGTAGGGTTCATCTGACCTTGACGTCATTTTCATGGTTTATTGGGTCAATATCATGTTTCCATGGTTTGGTCTGTTTCTTGAAAACTATAAGCAATAGGTCAGCTATATTTAATGTATGGAATGATTGTAAGGTGTACATGTCTGTCCTGCTTTGTTAATCTGATCTTGACCTCATTTTCATGGATCATTGATGATGTTAAGTTTATGTGATCCTTGTAGTAAAAATTTATCTTTTGGATTTATCAACATAAAATCAATCATTGTTAGAAAAACAGTCGAGACATTTCAGCGTGTGCACTCTTGTTACAGTTAGTTCTTATTTTGTGCAGTTTCACCACTGTCCCAAGGTTAGGGGAGGCTTTATTGCTCACAAAAATGTTTAACCCCGACACATTCTATTTGTGCCTGTCCCATGTCAGGAGCCTTTAAATCAGTGGTTGTCGTTGGTTGCTTTATGTCAAATTCTCTTTTTTTTTTTTATAGTTTATTCTTTTGTCATAAATCAGGCCGAATTGGTTTTCTCGTTTGATTTGTTTCCCATTTGTCATGTCGGGCCTAGAAGTGAAATAAAACCCTCTTCATATTAACATGTCCACTATTGATTGATTAATTTTTTCCAAAAATTTTAATATCTTTCCTCCTCAAAAGTAGGAAACAGCACTGTTAATATTTTATTAAAAAACTCAGGCGTATTTGATTTGCATTATTATGATAAAGAAATGCATTACGTAAATTAACTCTGGATGTATTTTGACAATGACATTAGCGGGTAATTCATAAAATGAATTTGAAATGGTCTAGCTTCAAACTTAAGCATCCCTCACAAAAAAAAACCCTTACCCCCCTTCCCCCCCTAAAAAAAAAAAAACACCAAAAGGGAAAAAAAAAAAACACACACACACATTTCTGAACATTTGCATAGATACAGAATGATTTGGACATACACACGAAAATCATTATATAGATTCAAGATCACCTCAATGGCCAAAGCTTAGCAGAGATCCAGGAGACACTACAGTTCAAGCTAGACATACAGGC